CACTTGGAGAACTTTGCATAAAGCTTCTCCTCCCTCAATCTCTGCAATACAACCCTCAAACGCTAAGCATGCTCCTCCTGGCTACGAGAGTATACCAGGATTTCATCAATGAATACAATAATGAATGAGTCCAAGTAGGGCTGAAACACACTGTTCATCAAATGCATGAACGCTGCTGGGGCATTGGTCAGCCCAAAAGACATCACCAAGAACTCATAATGGCCATAACGGGTCCTGAACGTTGTCTTAAGAATATCCGAATCTCGAATCTTTAGCTGGTGATACCCGGACCTCAAATCAATCTTGGAGAACACCTTCGTTCCCTGAAGCTGGTCAAATAGATCATCAATACGGGGCAAAGGATATTTGTTCTTGACTGTGACCTTGTTCAACTGCCTGTAATCAATACACATCCTCATGGAACCATCCTTTTTCTTTACAAACAAAACCAGTGCACCCTAAGGTGACACACTAGGCCGAATAAACCCCTTATCAAGGAGTTCCTGAAGCTGTTCTTTCAACTCCTTCAACTCTGCCGGTGCCATACTATACGGTGGAATAGAAATGGGCTGAGTGTCTGGCACCAAATCCATACCAAAGTCAATATCCCTGTCAGGCGGCATGCCTGGCAGGTCTGCAGGAAACACATCCGGAAAATCACATACCACCGGAATAGAATCAATGGTAGGAGTTTCTGCACTAACATCCCTCACAAAAGCCAAATAGGATAGACAACCCTTCTCAACCATACGCTGAGCCTTCAAATATGACATCACTGTACTAGGAACATAGTCTACAGAACCGCTTAACTCAACCCTCGAAAATCTTGGCATCGCCAACGTCACGGCCTTAGCGTGACAATCTAGAACAACATGACATGGAGATAACCAATCCATACCCAATATCAGATCGAAGTCAACCATACTGAGCAACAAAAGGTCCACTCGGGTCTCCAGACCCCCAATAGTCACCACACACGACCGATATACGCGGTCCACAACAATAGTATTGCCTACAGGAGTAGATACATGAACAGATACAACTAAAGACTCACAGGGCATATCAAGAAAATAAGTGAAATACGAGGAAACATATGAATATGTGATACCAGGGTCAAATAATACAGAGGCATCTCTTTGACAAACTGAGACAATACATGTAATCACAGCATCTGAAACAATAACATCTGGTTTGGTAGGGAGGGCATAGAAATGGGCCTAATCACCACCTGATCGGCCTCCCCCTCTAGGGAGACCCCTAGCTGACTGACATCCACCCCAAGCTGACTGGGCGGATGGTGAAGTAGCTGGTGCTGAAGTCGAAGGTTGACCCCTCTGCTGAGATGGACCTCCATGACGACGAGGACACTGTCTCCACATATGCCCAATCTCCCCATACTCAAAATAATTCCTGGTGTTGGTGACGGGGACTGAAGGGAACCCCAAGCACCGGGATAACTGGTAGAAGAACCTGGCATAGAGGAGCCCTGAACTAATGGAGCATGGGACGAACTCTTGGCTAGGAGGGCACTGAGTGATGAGTGCCCCTGATGAGAACTGTGAGAACTATGGCCCGATAATGCCCCACGGTGAACTGGGCAGGCTGACTGAGCATGCCTGAATAGACGGCCTCTGCTGTGCTGGAACTGACCCCTATTAGGAGCACCACTAAATCCACCCTGTCCCCGAGGCCTCTTGTCCTCCCTCTCAATCCTCTCCTGACCACGAACCATCTCAATATGCCGATCAATATCGACAACCTCATCAAAAGTAGCACCAGACACTCTCTCTCTGGTCATAAACAGTCACAGCTGGAAAGTGAGGCCATCTATAAACCCCCTGATCCTCTCCCTGTGTGTGGGAACCAACCAGATAGCATGACGGTCCAACTCCGAGAATCGCATCTCATACTACATCACAGACATATCACCCTAACGAAGCTGCTTAAACTGTCTGCATAACTCCTCTCTGTGGGACTAAGGCACGAACTTCTCCAGAAAGATGACGGAGAACTGCTGCCAAGTAAGGGGTGATGCGCTGACCGACCTACACCTCTCGTAAGCCTCCCACCAACTGAATGCAGCCCCAGAGAATTGGAAAGTAGTGAATGAGACCCTACTGGTCTCCAGAATGCCTGCTGTATGGAGTATACTCTGACACTTATCCAAGAAACCCTGAGCATCCTCACCCTCTGCACCACTGAAAGATGGAGGCTGGAGTCTCCCAAACCTCTCCAGTCTACGATGGTCATCCTCAGGCATAGCAGGAACCACATAGTCCTGAGCAGCTGCAACCGGCTGGGTTGGTGGTGCCCCGGGCATCTGGAGTCCCTGAATAACCTGCTCGGGTGTGCAAGCGGCGGGAGTGTGGGTGCCTCCCCCGGCCTAGGAAGTGGCTACGGCCGTCGAAATAGAGACCGCCTGAGAAAGGCCAGTACACATTGATAGAATCTGAGCTAGGGCCTCCTGAAGGCCAGGAATCACAATAGGCACAGGCGGTGCCAGAGTTGGTCCCGCTGGAACATCTACCACGGGGACCTGGTCCTGATCGGGAGCAACTGGAGGGGGGGGTCTGCAGGTACTGCCCTGGCTGTTGTGCGGGCTGCATCTCTACCCCTACCACGGCCTCGATCGCGGCCTTGGCTGGTGGTACTGGTGGCTGGTCCTCCTGTCCGGTAGTGCGAGTCCTCACCATCTGTGAGAGAATGAAACAACAGAAGTTTAGTTACCAAAATCAACAGATTCGCATGACAAGAATTCAAGAATGTGAGATTTTCCTAAGGGTTCTGCAGCCTCTCGAAGAAAAATACGGACGTCTCTGTATCGATCCGCAAGACTCTACTAAACCCGCTCATGACTCATGAAACCTATACAACCTAGGCTCTGATACCAACTTGTCATAACTCTAAAATCACATCGGTCGTGATGACGCCTATCGATGATACTAGGCCAGCCGACTTCCACAAAACTACAATAGTTCATTCAAACGATATGCCAAAAGACCTTTTGTATAACAGAACTCATTAAAGAAATAAGAGTTTAACTCAAAAACTAGAAATGCAGAAAGAAAAGCCCCAAACATCGGGGTGTCGCTGAGTCATGAACAACTAATACAAACTGGTCTGATAACAACAAGACTAAAATAGTCTGGGAAAATCCAAAATACAACTAAGGGTAGATAGGGAAGAAGAAAGTAGGGTTCCGATCGCCGGGCATGCTACCTTGCTATTTCCAATGATCAGCTACAGAAATATTAGCAACCGCTACCGTGGCCAGAAATGCCTGGATCTGCACACAAGTTTCAGGGAGTAACGTGATTACACCAACTCAGTAAATAACAATAGTAAATAAAGGCTGAGAAGTAGTGACGAGCTAGATGCAAGTACAGTTCATATCATAAAATTCAGTAAAGTACGGCATGCTTTACAACCAGAGTTTAAGTCAAATCAGTTTGTTTGAATCAAGTTCAAGAAAAAATCAATTAAAATATCTTTCAATAGTTCTCAAACAAGGACTCAAAGCAACTATGAGCACAAATGATAAAATCATATACCTCCCCTTGGGCAAAACATTACTCAGTCCTCCCAAACACTCCAACCTCACAATCGCTCGTGCCTCACAATCATTCAGCACTCGACACTCGCACTCAGTGCACTCACTGGGGGTGTGTACAGACTCCGAAAGGGCTCCTTCAGCCCAAGCGCTATATCAATGCCTATCATGGTAGAAACAATGAAACATACTGCGACGTGCAACCCGATCCCATAAATGTCCTTACAAATCAGGCCCTCGACTTCACTCAGTCATCAATCTCTCCAATCTCTCGGGCTCTCAGAAAGCAAAGTAAACAGCCCAAACAATATTGACATGATGCATCAGATAGAATAACAGAGACAGAGCTATGATGTAAAAATGCATGAACATGACAGAGTACAAATTATCAACCAAAACAGTGAGAGGACAGCAAGAAAAGACCTCTAAGGGTCCAAACAATATCGGCATAAGGCCTAGACATGGTATCTAGCATGATTTACAGCAAATCTTTCTAAAACACATAAGGAGCATATAGCTACAACAGGTTGTTCAACTTTACAGTTGCTACGGGACGGACCAAGTGACAATCCCCAACGATGAACGCACACACGCATGTCACCTAGCATGTGCGACACCTCCAAATAGTCACATGACACAAAAATCTGGGGTTTTATATCCTCGGGACTAGATTTACAATCGTTACGTATCTCAGTCCGAGAAAATTCCTACTTCGCAATACCCTTGCCTCTTGATTCGGCCTCCAAATATCCCGAATCTAGCCACAAGTAATACAACACAATCAATAAAGGCCAAAGGGATCAATCCCATAAGAAAACTACTGAATTAGAGCTAAAATCCGAAATTCACTCAAACCCGACCCCCCGGGCCCACATCTTGAAATCCGATAAAAATTATAAAACCCGAAAGCCCATTCACCTACGAGTCTAACCATATAAAATTTATCAAAATCCGACATCATTTGGTCCCTTAAATCCCCAAATTACACTCTCCAAAATCCCAAGCGCTAACCCCTTATTTCACTTCAAAACCCCCACTAATTAGGTGAGAAATCAACGAAAAAACACCATAGCTAAGGATAATAGAGCTCAAGTAACTTACCGCAGTGAATATCCTTGAATCCCCTTCAAAAATCACCCCAAAAGCTCCAAAGTCCGAGTTAAAAATAGTGGAAATGAGAAAAAATCACGAAGTCCTCTATTTATACATTTTGCCTAGTGAAACCGCACCTGCGGTCCCTTCTCCGCATCTACGGGCCATGCTTCGCTTCTGCGGAAATTACTTAAAATCCCTATGACCGTTTATGCGCCTCTCGGCCGCATTTGCGATCATCGCAGGTGCGGAAACTACCTCGCACCTGCGGATCCCTTCTCGCACCTGCGCGTGCCTGCCCGCATCTGTGACTCTCGCAGGTGCGGGAATAACTTTGCACCTGCGGTTATGTTATAATCATCTGTGCATGTTTCCAAGGCTCATGAACAAGAAAAAAGTAACGCAAAAATGTTTAAAGAAGCTATTCTAAAGACTAATGATGAATACACAACTTGCTTCAACATAATGTGAAAAGACATGTATTGCTCAAGGTCTTGGATACACTCATTGTGAGATGAAGTGTGATAGCAGCTGCAACGCCAAGTTGCTAAAAGGTATATACACTAATAGTATAACTTTAACACGTGCCAGTAGATCACTACAAAAAAGATCAAAAAAAGGCTAAATATATCGTTGGACTATCGACAAATAAATTAAATATATCTTCCATTTTATTTTCAAACTATTTTCGTCGAAGTTGGCTTGTTGGTGAAATAGAGGTGATGAAAATTCCTTCACAACAAATCAATTTCTAAGGATATGACAATTAGAAATTCGTACTTTTCTCGGTAGAGATATTAGATTATATATATTAATGTTTATCAGAGGAATTTATAAATAGTAATTACCATATAAATATCTCGATTGTATAAATTTATCTTTTATATAATTCGTATATAAAACTAAAACTGATTTTTACCATGTTATCAAATTAATGTTTATCATAAAAAATAACTAATTACCTTATAAATGTATGATTGTATAAATGTATTTTTTTTTACTTTCACCACATAGAACGTCTTAATAAAACTCAGTTTTTATTACTTATACATTCCTTTTTTCAATCCTTCACATTTTTTTCTTTAATTCAAACATATAGTTGTTGATTATTCTTCCATTTTCTAATACGTTATTCTCTATGATTTTCTCAGAGAAACTCGAGAGATTGAAGGATTTGAAGCCTTGAAGATGGACCAAAGGATGCAAAAATAGAAAATATATAGGGAAAGAAAAATAAAGAGGTGGTTTTTCATTTCTACTAATTAATTCATTCATCATTTCTTTGCCACTGTACTCGTAATTTCATGATTTAATAAAGTCGTTTCTTTCTAAAATTATTCTTGTTTCTTTTTAGTCAGTGGCAACATATTTCTTAATTTTATTTTATTTTATTTATATATATCTTCTTAATTTTCTTGATATTTTTGGTAATATTCTTGTTATTTTGGGCACCGATGATGTGTGTTAATTTGTCTGGTTGACTAATTAATGTATCTTTTCGCCACGACCCAAAACTTAGCCTACCGCGATGGCGCCTAACGTGGTACTAGGCAAGTCGAAATTTTAAAATATTTCCTACACGTTAAATAAAAAGGAACTAAAACAGTTTAAATAATTAAAGCTCTCTAAAAACTGGATGGAAAATCAAAACTCAATACGGAAATCCCCAAAACTAGGGTGTCACTAAGTACATGAGCGTCTATACAACACAAGTCTGAAAAATACCGTCTATGTAAAACTTAAACTAAATACTTAAAGCTGAAAGATTAGGAAGGAGGGTCAAGGTCTGCGAACGCCGGACAGCTACCTTGAAGTCTCCTAAGGATCAAACTGCGCGGATAATCAACACCCACTGTGGCCAAAAATATCTGAATTTTCACACGAAGTGCAGGGCGTAGTGTAACGACCCGACCGGTCGTTTTGAGCATTTGCATTCCGTTCAGCTATTTAAAGTATTGAGTAGCTTCATATGATGTATTATGACGTGTGTGAATTGTCCGCGTTGGTTTTCAGGTATTTTTGGAATTAGTTTGGAATAATAAATTTCATAGTTGAAGTTTTAAGTTGGAAGAGTTAAATAAATTTGACTTTTTAGTATTCGACCTCTGATAGGAGTTTTGATGATTCTGTTAGGTCCGGATGGTGATTTTGTACTCGGGTATATGCCCGGATTTGCATTTGGATAATTCTTGAAGGTTTCGGTACTAATTGGCGAAAGTTAAAAATTTGAAGGTTTGAAAATGTTCATATGTTTGACCGAGGTTTGACTTTATTGATATCGAGGTCGGATTTCGATTCCGAAAGTTATAGTAGGTCTGTTAAGTCATTTATGACTTGTGTGCCAAATTTGAGATCAATCCGAGATGTTTAGGCTTGTTCGCCGTTAGTTTTAAATTTTGAAACTTTAACAACGTCATTAAGTCGATCTGAAGTGAAATTTGTGATTTTGATGTTGTTAAGTGAGATTTGAAACATCGAGTAGGTCTGCATTATGATTTCGAACTTGCTTGTAAAATTCGGGGTCGTTCAGAGTTTGTTTGATAGCATTTGGACGTTTGGTTGTAATTCTAAAAGTTCTTGAAATCTCCCTTCATATTTCATGCATGTTGATGTTCGATTCATAGTTTCGAGAGTTATTTTGGTGATTTGATCGTGCGTGCAAGTTTTCATGATGTTTCTAGACTTGTGTGGATGTTTGGAGTAGAGCCCCGAGGGCTCGGGTGAGTTTCGGGGTAGTTTCAGATCATTTTTAAGCCTTTTCAGTTGTTGTTTTATGGCTACAGGGGTGTGCATCACGATCGCGAACATTTGGTCGCGTTAGCGAAGAGCAAACTGTAGTTTGGGCCCTTCTGAATCGTGATCGCAAAAGCCGTTTCGCGATTGCATAGGAGAAACTTCTGTTGCATAGGGCTGACTTTTGAAGCTTATATCTTGTAATTAATAAGGATTTTGGCAATGATCCAAAAATAAAGTTGTAGCTGTTGATGTCTAGTTTTTAGAAAGTCAAACCATTTGTCATTTAGAGCTTTGTACAAAAAGTTATGGCCATTATACTAGAAGCTGCCAGGGAAGAGTTAGAAAATCGCTGTTGAAGAATTTGTTCCTCGCGATCGTGAAAGGATGTCCATGATCGCGAAGAAGGAAGCCCGGGCAGTGGATTTAATGTCCAATTTCGGACCTTTGAGCCATTTATCCACATTTTGAGGTGGGGACCTCAGGATTTAGCGATTTTAAGGCGATTTTCATCACATGTATTGGGGTATGTGTTCTCTACTCGGCTTTGATTTTATTTCATAAATCTATCTTCGTTTTTGTCATTTAATTGAGCATTTCAAGAGAGAAATTGGGGGATTTTTATTAATATTTCATAGAGTGAAGTTTTGAGCTTTGAACATTGATTTAGAGTCGGATTTGAGTGAAACTAGTATGGTTGGACTCGTAATCTAATGGGTTATCGGATTTTATAAGTTTTGTCGGGTTCCGAGATGCGGGCCCAGATTTGACTTTGTGGTTGACTTTGGGTTTTTGATTAAAGATTCGACCTTTATCATTTGGAATTGTTTCCTTAGGCATTATTTGATGTATTTCAGTTGCTTTTTTACGAGCTGTTTAGAGGTCGGTACACACGAGATGGCATTTTTGGAGTAGCACTTGGCTTGCTCGGTATTGGATGGCTTATTCGAGGTAAGTAACACTTGTAAACTAGGTATTGAGGGTATAAACCCCCGACTTACGTGTTGTGTGATTGATGTGGAGGTGACGTGCATGCTAGGTGGTGAGCGTGTGGGTGTGCACCGTGTGAATTATGATTTAATCGATTCGATGGAACTATGTAGCTATCTTATCTGAACATTTTTATTGTACTCGATGTGTTACAGCACTTGAGCTGTAATTTATGCTAGAAATCACATTTAGGCTATATGCTGGTACTATTGGGACCCACAGTAGTCATTCTTTGCTATTGAGTTATTTGCTTAATTGCAGGTATGTACTCAGTCTGTCACGACCCAAATTCTCCCTCTGTGAATTGTCGTGACATTACCTAGTCTTTACGATTAGGTAAGCCTAATACTTTGCGGAAATAAAATGAAAAACATGAAAATTAACAACTAACAGCAGCAGATATTTTAAATAAGTAATTGAGATGCCACTCGGCATATACAATAATCAACTCTCGAAATATACATAACACTCCCAAGACCCAGAACACCATAAGTCACAAGCTTCTACGAAGTTCTAACTGTTCTTTACATTAGTGTCTATAGATATAAGAGAAGAAATAACATAGGGCACGGGCAGATGAACCTTGAAGTCTCCGGAACAGCAGCGACTGCAACTAAGAATGAGGATGGTAGGAGGAACCTGGATCTGCACACGAAAAACATCTGCAGGGAAGGGCATGAGTATACCACAACGGTACCCAGTAAGTGCTAAGCCTAACCTCGGTCGAGTAGTGACGAGGTCAGGTCAGGGCCCTACTGGTATATATATATAATAAAAACAAGGCAGAGTGAAATATCGCAATAAAATAAAGACCGAAATTTAACAAGAATGAAATCATAGAAAGGTAACAACTTAGTACACACAGAAAACAACAAGGGATCTCCCGAGATACCGTCGTGTAGTCCCAAGCGTAAATGTGCAGGGGGATCTCCCGGAATACCGTTCTGTAGTCCTAAAGTAAATATGCAAGACATGAGGATCTCCCGAAATACCGTTCCATAGTCCCAAGTAAATATGCAGGGCGATATCCCGGAATACCGTTCCGTAATCCCAAAAGTAAATACACAGCTCAAACAATAGAATTTAATAGCTACAACACGAAATCCTACAATTTAGACTAAGTACAAGTCAAAGAAAGAGCAGGAAATTCACTATACATTTTGCACGGAGTTCAGATAAGCAATTAAGGGAAGAAGACATACTATTCTAATCTAACAGGATACTACACATGCTGATATGACTCAAATAAGAAGGAAACATGTTATTACTTAGCAAAAAATTGGGTTTTACAATAATTAGCCCGTGTACTTACTCGTCACCTCACGTACACGGTGCTCACATATCAAAACAGTACCAAGTCCTAAGGGGAGTTCCCCCACACAAGGTTAGGAAAGCCACATACCTCGAACCGAGCACAATCAATCCATAACAATGCTCTTTCTACGAATATCTGACTCTGAATGGCCCAAATCTAGCCAAAATCAATTACATATCATAAATATAACTACAGGGAACTAATCTAACTAATGAAATCAAAGCTAAATCAAGAAATTGGAAAATCACCCTAAAAGGTCTCCCCGGTCCCACGTCTCAGAATCGGGTAAAAGTCACAAAATATGAACACCCATTCACTCATGAGTTCACTCGTACCAAAATTATCCAAATTCGATATCAAAATCCCAATCAAATCTCAAAAACTTAGTTGAAGAACTTCCACCCTTCTTCCCAAAATTTCTCACCCAATTTTCTTAATTTAATGAAGAAATGACATGACCCATTTCTCCCTCCGTAAGATATCGTGACGGCATCTAGTCGCTACGACTAGGTAAGCCTAATAATTTTGAAATAACGGAAATAAAATAGTAATTAATAACTAAATTTCAATAAATATGATATACTGATAAAAATGCCACTCGGCATGTACAAGAACACCAGCGCTCGAATATCAACACTATTCCCAAAACTCGATAATCACGAGTCACAAGCTCTATGAAATTGTCTAACTGTTTTCTCTACATAGTGTCTAAAGGAAATAAGGGAGGAAAACAACATAAGGGATAGAGGGGGACCCCGAGGATCTGCGGGCGCGGACAGATGTACCTTGAAGTCTCCAGTAAGCTGCAACGACTGCACTAATGATGAGGCGGGTACCATGAAAAACATGTGCAGGAAGAGTGTGAGTACACCACAATGGTACCCAGTAAGTGCCAAGCCTAACCTTGGTCGAGTAGTGACGAGGTCAGGTCAGGGCCCTACCGGAACATATATATATATAATAAGGCAAGCAAAAATAAAATATCATAGTAATAAAGACTGAAATGTAACAAGGAAGAAATCATGGAAAAGCAACAGCTCAGTATTCAGCAAATCAACAGGGGATCTCTCGAGATATCGTCTCGTAGTCCCAAACGTAAATGTGCAGGTAGATCTCCTGAAATACTGTTCCGTAGTCCCAAAGTAAATATGCAAGATAAGGGGGATCTCCCAGAATACCGTTCCAT